GAACTCCAGTGAAAACAAAACAAAGCATAGCTTATAATCCTTACTAGGTTTTTATTTTGCTATCTCTCCTGCTAGGGTGATGTATTTAAATCTTCCATAAATTACACTTTGTTTTGTTACACATAAGAGATTCTTCCTAGACTATGAATTATGATAAAATCATGTAGAAGATCTGATGTTAGATGTAATTGGGCACATATAAAGGTTAGATCACAAAAACGTACCATAGAGTTAGCTTAAGGTTTACCCTAAATATTAGTAACAAGCTGCAAGAGAAAAAACGGATTTATAGATAAATATTTGCATGGTAAGTAGTTATTAGAATGGCACTGGACATATTTGTTATAAAAGAGAGAAAATGAACAGACAACGCAAGCCGGTTGTTAAAAAAGCAACACACAGTCAGGTTCCAGTATCCTATACAAATCTGTCATTACAGGTTCCAGCAGTGATATTATTAGGGTGGATGCTATGGGATAGAAAGTGGCAGTCATGTGAATGGGCTTTCCTTGAACACATGGGTGATATACTGGTGTGAGATTTTGTTATTCCTGCTGTCCTATTCACTGGCTTTTTATATTTCAAAAGAAGAAATCTAATATCCCACTGTCCCAATTCTTTTCGTAGTGTTGCACTAACCCCAGGAAACCATGTAGAATGTGTCAAGCTTGGAAAAAGAGAAGAGATCACCTAAGATGAATCCCATAGGCATGCAGAAAACATCTGTGTACTGGATACAGACCTGGAGGATATGGCTGTAGAATCAATGTGTGTGGAATCCCTCTATAAATACAGAATATCAGTGAAAACATTTAGATCAAATTCGCCAATATGAATTTGAGTAAACCAAAATGTGTATTCTGTGTGATCTGGAATTTAATAACAAAACCCTAAACTGCCTTTAGCCTCTTAACTTGGAACATACAGGGGAGTAGTCTGTATACCACCATAATCCCTCTTTCAGAAAACAAAAACGGGATGAATGAAGGTAACACTGAAACTGGACATGCTCAGTACAGAAGCAAACCTGAAGAAAGTAGCTGAACTCCCATAAACTTTTCCAGTCACCATTAAGGATTTCTATAGAAACTATTGTGCCACACAACAGAAATATGCTTACCTTGCATTGCTGCTGCTTATACAGGCCATAGACGGGTCGAACATCGGCCGATTTTTCAAACGATAAACGAAAAATCAGTCGTTCGTTAAGCCGAGGTTACCACCACCGATTAAAAAAATCGGCTGACTAAATCATAAAGTTCACCCCATATAACAACCAAACTTCTGTCCCTTGCAGGTCATGCACAGATTTTTTATCTTTAAAACGATTGGCCGATTTGGCCATCATTGCTGCAAAAATCGTCCGTTTTCCGTGAATTTTCCAACATGCCCGATAATCTACAATTCCAAAATACCCGAAAACCGGCCGACCAATTAACCCACTAACAGTGCGAAAATCGGCTGATTTTTCGTTCAGCCGAAAAATCGGACGATTTTCGAACCGTCTATGGCCGGCATTAGTGTCTCCCTGGCCATTGCAGATAATCCACACTTTGGGTGTGCAAACTACCTGCTCTCTTACTGCACCTTGTGGTTCTCTTGCCAGCTCCTGTAGTGACAAATGAGCCAGCGGGAGGAACTTTAGCATGTGGCAGGGTAGCAGGTATTTGACCCACATGACCATACCTGTCATACCTGTAGTGGCTTGGGAGAAGCAGGGCTGAGGATTTTGAACATGTTGGCAGTATTGTAACAAAGGCTAACCGATCCAAAGGAAAAAAAACAAACAAAAACTGGGGACACGTGCAGCTCGAAGAGCTGCCTGATAGACCCAACGCCTGAAGCTGGCATCAGATGAGGCCAAAACATCGACCTGGTAGAACTTCTAAAACTGAAGACCAGGCCTTGCACATGGGAAAGGTTGCATGATGTCACAAGAACAAGCAGCACTCAGATATGGTAGAGCCGTGAATGAAAAGGGTGGAACCAGATCCTTAAGACCAAAAGTTTAAAATGATGGTCAGACTAGGCCACCTAGAGATGTGAAATGAGAAGCCAGTGTACCCTTATAGGGACCATCCGGGATAAAGGAAATCTGAAGTAGTGGATGAGGGATAAACTCACAGCCATTTTAGTTCTGCATGTATTTAGGAATGACTGTAAGTTCGTAAGCAAAATCAAAAAGGGACTTAAAGAAAAGTAAGTTGAAATCAAAAACAACTTCCATGGCTTCCACAATCACGATCAGACCTGCATGGGGAGTTCTGGGGAGCAGTCAGCTGTAAAGACCCAATTCACAAAGTGGTTCTGATTAGGAAACTCAAGAGAACCAGAGAAAGGGTCATTTAAATCAAACAATCATATTATGTATGGGTATCAGAAGAAAACAAGTATGCTGATAGAATTAAATTGGAAAAGTCAGTGCACACTATAAAAATATAATAATATAGCAACATTTCGTACATACTAATCAGTGATATTAATTGCAAATCAGCCTCCATATACCTTATGTTCACATTTTGATCCCCAGATATATGATTACACTAGGCCAGGGGTAGGCAACCTGTGGCTCTCCAGCTGTTGCAGGACTACAAGTTCCATCATGCCTCTGCAAGTCATAGCTGTAACCGTCAGTTTTGTAATGTTGCAATGCCTCATGGGAAATGTAGTTCCACAACAGCTAGAGAGCCGCAGGTTGCCTACCCCTGCACTAGGCGAATTCATCAAACCAAATCTGTGGTATGGGGCATAGAAATAAAAAGGTAGCTTCGCCTCTTCCACGGACATTGCAAATCCCAGGAGGTCTTTAGTTCCGTGGTGACCTGGGACAGAAGGGTAGGAAAGGGTCTGGCAGACAGTGATGCCAAGCAAAAAGGCACATCAGCAGCAAAAGATCAGGGAAGCAGGAATCCTCAGCTAGTCCTGGAACTAAACCATGGGTAGATGTGAGGGCTACTAGCAGGCAGAGCAGTAACGGAGCGTGCTAACCAGGAGAACTACTGGACATGACAAACATTAAAAGCCCAATGCAAAGAGTGTCAGCTGAGGGGAGCAGCTTCTCTTGCCTCAAATCTTGGGTAAGAAAAACGTATGGCAGACTTCAGGAAGGTGGGAAACCTATGCAGAGAGAGCTAGGGATCAAAGATGGGAAACTGGCCCTTAGATGCATTACCAATGGCACTAGCAGAAACTGGCAGCAGAACCAGAAGCACTGCTAAATGTGCAGTAAAACCTACCACTTTGATGGAAAAATCAGGTCAAGTGTTCAGGTGTAGATCTAGAGCTTGACCAACAACTGGAAGACCACAGAAGTAGAGCTGGTGCAGTTGTTGGGAATGGAACTGGCACAAGGAGAAAGTCAGAAGAAGGTAGTAGTAAGGTACTAGAAGGAGGCACTCTTTGCAAATCTTCAGATCTGGGATTCTGATGTGATGATGAGCACAGGAGCCATGGAAGCAAATACCATCCGCAGAGCGTGCAGGAATGTCATTTTCACAAGATACATTTTATTCTGACTTCAAGATCATGGAAGAATAAATATTTAGCCTTCCTTCTTCTGACTGCCAAATGATGGAACAACAAAATAATGTAGACCAGTAGACCTAGAGAGGTCACGTAAGGCTGATCTTCCAGTTCTTGGAGGTGAAGCATTTTATTTTTATTTTTTTTCGCCTGACCTCCTAGACTAGAGGGAGGATTTATGACATCATCCTGCACTGGCCAGACAAGATGGCCCAAGACCAGCAATCAGAAAAAGTCACAGAAAGATGCTGGCGAGGGACATTAAAAACTGTTGAAGTTGAAGTACTGAGACTTTAGTTTACACATAAAGACCCAAGAAGGTTAATTCTTCAGGGATAAACATTGTAGAGCACATTTGCAGATACAGTACAGCCCATGCATCCTAGTGCCAAGACTGAAGGGGGTGGCAGACATTACATATTGCTGGGTGTTAAGTTAAAAACCTGCAAAATCAAAGAGGCAGGCCTTCTTAATTATAACGCAAGTTATGACCAAATGTCTAAAGTAACATTGAAATACAAGTGTTCAAATTGATCCCTATGTCTCTGTGTAGATCCCTTGGATCCTAGGCCCAGGTTGTATAGAAGTTCTCAGTTTCTCACCGAGTTCAGAATAAGGCTGGCCATGAATGAGTCATTTTCTTTCACTTAAAGGAAAGAAAATGGCTTGATTTCTCCATATACACACTATGTGAATGGGGGAATCTCTCTTGCGTGTGCTTACAATTAGTGTTTTGCCACATCCTGGTTTCTTGAGGCACTGGTGACATAGCTTTGGCCTCTCATCTGCATCCTGGAAAGTGCCTTTCAGGGAGATCTCAGTTAAAAACCTCAAAATTTCACAAGATCGCTGTGGAAAGAGGTGTTTTTTTCCCCAACTCAGTAGTGCTGTATCACATGTTCCAGGAGGCAGACCCAGAGTTTCAGGGAGTAAAGGGAGATGGATTCATCTTCCCTTAGTAAAAATGGCCACTGAGAAAAATAGGGAGGAAAAAGAAAAATAAGGTATGCAAAGAATAAAAAGCCTAAGTACATATCTGCCTGTAGATTGACATCTCTAAATATTTATAAAGGTGCCTTTGTTGTAATTTTTAAGATAAGGGAGAAATTCCTCTTTAGAATGGTTGAATCACAAAGCCTCTTAACTGCCCACTGGGGCACTGGCCTTAAAAAAAAAAAAAAAAAAAAAAATACTGGGGACAAGGCTTTGTAAGCAGGTGGGGTTTAAACTATGAAAAAAAAGGGGAGCATAGGATCCAAGGTGCTCCACTTGTTTGTAGCGGTTACATTAGGGATTTCCTAACCCAGGTCTGGTTCACTTTAGATTAGTTTGGTCATCTATGCAGTCCACAGAAGGTGTGCAATTACAGGGCTGGGTACATGAATTGTATTGGATAAAAAGGTTTTAATAGTGTGAACAATATATCTGCTATTTATTCAAAGTTCCTAACGTTTCCCTTCAAAGCAAATGAGCAATCATCACAAACTCCTTAGATACAAACTCTCCGGTTTCACGTATATCCCCCTCTTACTGACTGTGTGCTCGGGTTTGTGGTTTTCTAAGAAAATGTGAATTACCGCAAACTCAGAATAGGTGCTGGCAACAGAGTTAACGCTGTGGTTACGCTGGGCAGGAATTGTGAGGTGGCACCCACCGCTTAGAGCGGTTCCATTTAAAGTGGACATGTTTTCCTTGTTCTTCTCGAACTTCCTTGGCTGTGGCGTTTTGAACACTCTGGTTGGGGTTCGGGTAGGTAGTCCAGGCTGAGGAATCAAAAATATTTGTATGGAATCAGAAAACACAAAAAACAAAAATTTACTTTTTGTAAACAGAAATGCAACAGTGAATCTTATAGAAGAATGGCAGCATTTAAGACTAAGCATTAGTTAGGGCATACTGTTTCCTACCCAACTCTCGTTCCGCTTCCTCCACCCAACCTCTCGTTCCGCTTCCTCCACCCAACCTCTCGTTCCGCTTCCTCCACCCAACCTCTCGTTCCGCTTCCTCCACCCAACCTCTCGTTCCGCTTCCTCCACCCAACCTCTCGTTCCGCTTCCTCCACCCAACCTCTCGTTCCGCTTCCTCCACCCAACCTCTCGTTCCGCTTCCTCTCCACCCAACCTCTCGTTCCGCTTCCTCCACCCAACCTCTCGTTCCGCTTCCTCCACCCAACCTCTCGTTCCGCTTCCTCCACCCAACCTCTCGTTCCGCTTCCTCTACCCAACCTCTCGTTCCGCTTCCTCTACCCAATCTCTCGTTCGGTTTCCTCTACCCAATCTCTCGTTCGGTTTCCTCTACCCATGCTCTAATGTAATTTTAACTTCGTGATGTGAAGCATGGTGCAATTCCTGCTGTATCTTTACTGCTGTCTGTGGCCCAATCACACATTATTCTAAATCAGCTGAATACATTACAAGTGCATAAAAAAAACAAAAAAGGTGGGTATAGTCTAACAGTCACTTTCTTTAGAAAGCAGCTACAGTCTAAAACAAAAAAAAAGAACCCTGTAACCTGCCAGCAGCTGCAGAGGATGACTCTTGCGCTCTGTGTAAATGGTCTCTCTGTAGAGATCCAAAACACCCCCTACTGCATCAGACCTATAACTCTTCAAAACACTTCTCATCCATGTTAGTTGGAGAGCTCTAGCTCTGACAGTAGGGGGGGGGGGGGGGGGGGGTCAAGTCTCTGCAGAGAGACTACAAAGAGGAAGAGTTATTTTTCTATAGCATACTGGTAGGGGACAGTTTTAATTTTTTTTTTTTTTTTTAACTGTGGCTGCTTTGTAAAGGGAATGAGCTGTAACACCTTTTGTTTTGAAGCTCCTGTATATTTAGTTGATCTAAATTGGGATTTAAATACTGGCAGCATGTTCTATAGCCCAAAAAGGTAAGTCTCACAACTACCGTTCAATAGACCAATGCCAGAATCCCATTGGCCAGTAGAAGCATGCACACCTGATTGCTAAAGCTGGGAATTGCAGGCCATGCCCAAATTGGATAGCCTCCTGTATAGTTTGTAGATGCAATGCACTGACTACCCATCCGCACAGTAACAATTAGAAGATCATCAACAGGTCACTGAACTGGCAGGATTGTTTGTTTGGACACAATGATGTGCCCAAAAGGTTTTAAATTGTCCTTAACAGAGGCATAATAGGTAGCATGTCTTGATACTGCATAACTAGACTTTTAACTTGCAACAGATTAATATGTAATCAAACTTTAGCAAAACCAAACTAAAACCAAAGTCCATGTTTTATTATTCCCCCACTGCCCCAATATGTAACCTCCTGATAAAACTTTGCTGTATTCGATCACCAATTCAAGATCAGACCCAGGCATTAGAACGGAGCTACAGCTGGGAAGGGGTCACTAAAGCACTTACAATCATTAATAGTTGTATCTAAAACACACTTCCCGCCTGCTGACAATCACCATATAAACCTCTAACATCCACAATCTAAGCCAGGAAAACTTGCAAGTAGGTATGTGAAAACCTTTCAGAAAACTATGTTCGGATGGTGAGAGAGGTAAAGATTTACAAAAATGTATTATAACAATAAGCATTATATATATTATAAATAAAAGCTGTTGATGTGAAATCAGATAATTACAAAAAAAACACAGGTAAATATAAGATTTTACAGTATACATAGTTTTATAATCAAGAATAGGTTTTCACGTTGCCTTTAACTGACCTTTCCACCGCTAGGAGGTGGACGTGACACAGGAGAATGGCATAGTGTCCCACTGAATGCAGAACGCAGGGTGCTATTGGTGGTATTGGAAACATACGTGCCATTAAGCTGAAGGAAAAGCAAGCAACAAAAGTTAGTATTAGGAACAGGAAGAGAAACAAAAAGCACATGCATGACCTAGTTACTTTCATGCTGGGGCAGACTGAAGTAGTATTTATAAGACGAAAAATCCCCAGATGAGCCACAAAAATAAATAAAATGGGATTTTGTAAAAAGCAGTGCATCACATTAAAAGGAAAAAAAAGAAAAAAGCAGATTTTGGATAAAAGGCATGCATGGAGTTACTGTAAAATATATCATGCAGGTTACACATCTATCTTCTGAATAAAACATGACAGAAATGCACTAGGAACGTCATTATAGTACTGGGAGCGATACTAGTTTTGCAGTTATTTAGGCTTCATGCAATTCAAGAAGCAATAACTTACAACCCTCAATTACAACAGGGTTCAATTTAGGAACCACAAAAAAAAAAATTCTGTGGTGCAGTAAAACAGAAAATTTTGAACTGAAATGAACAAACAGATAAACCCTTAAAAAAAAAAAAAAAAAAAAAAAAAAGAAAGATCGATCATGCTCTAAATATCTGAACCTCCTTATAAAATCAGCATCAACAGAATTTATTTCTTTAAGCCAAATGCAAGAATTGTCTGTGCTTGTTAGAAGCCTTAAATGATGCCTATACTGAGAGGATTATGTAGGCTGCCACTGAAAACACAAGCGGTCTGGCTTTCTCTAAATTAAAGCAGTAGTAATTTAAAAGGAAAAAAAAAAAAAAAAAAGCACAAAAAACATTGGGCCCTGCAGGATAATGTCATAGTGTGTTAGCATGAAGTACTAGCACCTTGTGACAGACTTGCCTTAAAACTAAGCCCTCCAGCAGCACGCTGTCGCCATTAACGGGGCTGCTAACTTCTCCCAGACTTCCTTCTAGATTTGCAGCTCCGGCCGTTTGAATGGCTGAGCTGCTATGACATCACTCCTGCTCATGCGCCCGGCAGCCACGGCTGCAGCACAGAGCTCTGAATGGATAGCATCGTCCATCCAGAGCGCAGTACACATGCGCCAGTGACATTGCCTACTGCTACTAAAGTAAATATCTCGTAAATAGTAAATGTTTATGATACATTTACTGTTCCCACAAGTAAGCTGTGTAGGTATAAATAAAAAGGCACTACAGCACAAGGAAGCAGATCAATAATGTGAGAACTGCAAATCTACCAAATTGTTCCAGAAGAGTATTAAAGCCATCGGATCAGCATGACAATAATGAACTGGTATTTTCAGAAATATTTTAGTAGTTCTTCTTTGTGAGACGCTGCCCTAGTGTAATCTGTTGAAAGGTTTGTCTTCCGTGTTCAGCTACATTCAGTTTAAAAAGTGCCAGGTAGGGAGGTAACGTGTTCTGGAAAATCTACCTGAACAACATGATTCCAGATTTTTTTTTCAATTTTCTTAAACAGTCTTACATAGTTACATACACTATATTGCCAAAAGTATTGGGATGCCTGCTTTACACACACATGAACTTTAACCACTTGCCTACTGGGCACTTATACCCCCTTCTTTACCAGGCCAATTTTCAGCTTTCAATGCTGTCGCACTTTGATTGACAATTGTGCGGTCATGCAAGATTGTACCATATGAAATTTTTATTTTTTTTTCTCACAAATAGAGCTTTCTTTTGTTGGTATTTAATTGCCGCTGGGTGTTTTACTTTTTGCGCTATAAACAAAAAAAAATTGCAAAAAATAAAAAAAAACCCCAAAAGTTTGTTTCTATTATAAAATGTTTCAAACAGGTAATTTTTCTCCTTCACTGATGTGCGTTGATGAGGCAGCACTGATGGCACTCATAGGCGGCACTGATAGGCAGCACCCTGATGATCAGTGCCGATCCCTGCTCTGACAACTGCCGGTTCTCGGCAGTACTTTCCTCACGCTCTGACAGCATGAGGAAAGTGCAGCCGAGAACCGGCAATTGCATTTCCCTGTGATCAGCGTGTCATTTGACAAGGCTGATCACGTGGTAAAAGGCCGCTGTGATTGCCTTTTACCACATCACGTGATCAGCTGTGTCCATAGGACACAGTGATCACGGAGATCGCCGGGGGCGCGCAGGAGAGCGCGTTCTGGGAGGACATCATATGACGCCCACCCAGAACTGGCCGGCCGCAGTGTAGCTGTCATTCGGCTATCTGTGGTTGGCAACTGGTTAATGGCATCCCAGTCTTAGTCCATAGGGTTCAATATGGAGTTGGCCCCGCCCTTTGCAGCTATAACAGCTTCAACTCTTCTGGGAAGGCCGTCCACAAGGTTTAGGAGTGTGTCTATGGGAATGTTTGACCATTCTTCCAGAAGCACATTTGTGAGGTCAGGCACTGATGTCGGACGAGAAGGCCTGGCTCACAGTCTCCACTCTAATTCATCCTAAAGGTGTTCTATCGGGTTGAGGTCAGGACTCTGTACAGGCCAGTCAAGTTCCTCCACCCCAAACTGGCTCCTCCATGTCTCTATGGACCTTGCTTTGTGCAGTCATGTTGGAACAGGAAGGGGCCATCCCCAAACTGTTCCCACAAAGTTGGGAGCATGAAATTGTCCAAAATGTCTTGGTATGCCGACGCCTTAAGAGTTGGCTTCTCTGGAACTAAGGGGCCAAGCCCAACACCTGAAAAACAACCCCACACCATAATCCCTTCTGCACCAAACTCCACACTTGGCACGATGCAGTCAGGCAAGTACCATTCTCCTGACAACCATCAAACCCAGACACATCCATCGGATTGCCAGGAAAAGCGTGATTGGTCACTCCAGAGAACACATCTACCCTGCTCTACAGTCCAGTGGCGGCGTGCTTTATACCACTGCATCAGACACTTTGCATTGCACTTGGAGATGTAAGGCTTGGATGCAGCAGCTTGGCCATGGAAACCCATTCCATGAAGCTCTCTAGGCACTGTTGTGCTAATCTGAAGGCCACACCAAGTTTGGAGGTCTTTAGCTATTGACTTTGCAGACAGTTGGCGACTTCTGCGCACTGTGCACTTCAGCATGTCCTGACCCCACTGTGTCATTTTACGTGGCCTACCACTTCGTGGCTGAGTTGCGGTTCTTCCCAGTTTCTTTCACTTTGTTATAATACCACTATAACAGTTGAGCGTGGAATATTTAGTAACAAGAAAATGTCACGGATGGACTTATTGTACAGGTGACAACCTATCACAGTACCATGCCTGAATTCACTGAGCTCCTGAGAGCGACCCATTCTTTTACAAAGGTTTGTAGAAGCAGTCTGCATGCCTAGGTACTTGTTTTTATACACCTGTGGTCATGGAGGTGATTGGAGCACCTGAATCCAATGATTTGGAGGGGTGTCCCAATACTTTTGTCAATATAGTGTAGTTAGTCTGGCTGAAAAAAGACCAAAGTCCATCCAGTTAAAAAGATTTAAAAAAAAAACCCCACAAAAAAAACAAACAAACCAACAAAAAAAAGTTTTAATCCTATACTCACAGTTGATTCAGAGGAAGGTAAAAAAAAACCCAGCAAAGCATGATACAATTTGCTCCTGCAGGGGAAAAAAATTCCTTCCTGAACCCCCGAGAGGCAATCAGATATTCCCTGGATCAACTTTACCTATAAATGTTAGTATCCAGTTATATTCTGTGTATCTAGGAAAGAATCCAGGCCTTTTTTAAAGCAATCCACTGAGCTGGCCAGAACCAACTCTTGAGGGAGTCTATTCCACATCTTCACAGCTCTTACTGTGAATTAATAAATTAATAGATTAAATCTCTTTTTCTCTATGGGGTCTCTTTCTTAAAAAGAAGCACTCAAGAACAGTTTGGACTTTGTTCTGGGTATACAGTACTTATAAACTACCTACAACATAGAACAGATATACAGTACAGTAGTAGCATCAAGGGCACAAGCAGATGAAATAAACAGTTCAACGGAAGCCATTTGGTTGCACGATTATACAGTATGTTATTAAAAAGGAAGAGCATAAAAATATCCCAACTATAATTAGAGCTCACCTTGCGCACTTTATTAGGAGTAGTAGTATTGCCAAGCACTCTTCGTTTATTAGGTGTTCTTGGAGCGCTTCCATAAAACATCTCCTCCTCTAACTGACGAGACTTTTTCATTAACTGCATTTAAAGATTGGAGAGAAAAAACAAAAATTGTTATCTTAAGTTGTACATGACCTCAATACGATCAAATCAAAACACATTTTGATGTTCTTATATTAAATGTACAAGGATAACAGTGCAGGGACATTATCTTTTGCCAGAAGGAAAAACAAATGGCAGGTGATAAATTAAAAAAAAAAAAGAAAAATCTCTTACCCTCTCTTGTTTTTCCTTTTCTTTCTCTACCTGAAGCTGATTCCATTGCTCTGCTACATAGTCCATGAATTTCTTGCCATTCACAAAGAACTCCTGTTGCTGTTCCTCTTCCCATGATTCGATACGAAATTTTAGTTCTTCCTCCAACTGTAATCAAGAGAATAAATCAGCTTAGTTATTAAAAAAATAGCATTTAGAAAAGGACCTGTAGGAGACATATGGCAGTGCTCCGAGTCAGGAAGCACAGGAAAGTAATCACCCTGCTGACAGAGGAAAATTGGAGCAGCATCTGCTAGTGTTCCAGAAACTGTAAGATCAATGGATGGATGGATGCCGCTCAGACCAATCCCAGGAGTTCAGTGTATGTGAGATGGCCTCAGCCGCTGCTCTGGCCCTCTGAAGCCATCTCACTAACTGGCGATCTGTCTGAGCGCATCCATCCATTGATCTTACACCATTCTGAAAACTGCAACATTGTTTACAGCAAAAACTGTCATTTTCTTTTCTTTTTTAGGATACCCCCCTATGCGTTTTAATACACATCAGCACATTACACAGATTAGGCAGTATTTTATATGGTAACAATGTTTTTGCAAGTTTTGAGGTGCATTGTCCGTTCCCCACATCAACACACCTTGGAACCTATGGTTGACAATGGTAGCACATAAAAGCGAATAATTGCTGATAATGCACCAAAAACATGAAAATGAGCATTGAAAGGTGTGAATCCAGCTTAAATTAAAGCTTGAGTTGTGGGAGCCACCCTACTGGCTTGGTTTTACAAAACTACATGGTTCAAGGCCATCATACTAATCTTGGATTTATTATGTAGAAAGTCACTGACCAGCACGTTTCATTTAAGGTGATCTGACCCTGACCTAAAATGTTTCAAAGGCAATAATAACAACGCTGTCTCCTTGACGTGCCTGTCAATTTCTGTGACCAGCTGTCTTGGCTCTCTTATCAGCAATTACACAAACCAAGTTGCAATCAACAATGTGATGTGGCAGGGGACGACTTTTCTCAATATACAGTGGGGAAAGAAATTTGATCCCCTGCAGATTTTGTAAGTTTGCCCACTTACCAAGAAATGAAGGGTCTATAATTTTTATCATAGGTGTATTTTAAATGATAAAGACAGAATATCAACCAAAAATCCAGAAAAAACACATGATACAAATGTTATAAATTGAGTTGCAGTTCAGTGAGTAAAATAAGTATTTGATTCCCCTCCCAACCAAACGATAATTCTGGCTCCCACAGACTGACTACACAGATTAGTCCTGTCAATTTAAGAAGGTGCTCCTATGCTTTGAGGCTGTTTCTCTGCTTAAAAAGGTACAGGCCGACTTTGCCGCATTGAGGGGCCAATGGACGGGGCCACATAATAAAATCTTGGATGAGAACCTTCTTCCCTCAGCTAGAACACTGAAGATGGGTCGTGGATGGGTCTTTCAGCAAGACAATGACACAAAACATACCACCAAGACAACAAAGGAGTGGCTCAAGAAGATGCACATTAAGGTCATGGAGTGGTCTAGCCAGTCTCCAGACCTTAATCCTATAGAAAACTTACGGAGGGAGCTGAAACTTCGAGTTGCCAAGTGACAGCCAAGAAACCTTAAGGATTTACAGAAGATCTTTAAAGAAGAGTGGACCAAAATCTTTCCTGAGATGTGTGCAAACCTGGTAACCAACTACAAGAAACATCTTACCTCTGTGCTTGCCAACAAGGGTTTCTCCACCAAATAGTAAGTCATGTTTTGCTTGGAGGTCAAATACCTATTTTACTCGCTGAACTGTAACTCCATTTATAACATTTGTATCATGTGTTTTTTTCTGGATTTTTGGTTGATATTCTGTCTCAATCATTTAAAATACCCCCATGATAAAACATTAGTTCATTTCTTTGTAAGTGGGCAAACTTACAAAATATGCAGGAGATCAAATTATTATTTTCCCCACTGTAGCATCAGTACAGTTTTTATACACATAAAGTTGAGGAAGCATTGTAGAATATATTTACCATGTATTATTTTCCATAAAAGACCTCCTTTAGTAAATACTCAATATTTTAAAGATGACATCCTCGCTGAAGCATAGCATTCATAATGTAACACAGAATTAGCTAAACACAATATAAGAGGCTTCTATAGAGATCATACCTTTGGAAGCATCTTCTGCAATTTTGCTCGCTGCTTTTCTTCTTTTAAAAGATTCCCTCCACGGTTATTGAACCTGTTGGGGTCTGTTGCTTTTTTCTAAAGAAGGCAGGAAGGCAGAGATCACAACGTGCAATGTTAGGATCTGTAAAAATACATTACTGATCCACATACGTTTTCATGAACTAAAAAGGAACACCATCATAGCTATAAAAAGTTACTTCTCCATGAGCTCAGTAGATTGTATTTGCCCTTTACAAAGTGCTCTTGATTTACTTACATCAAGCTCCAAGAAAAGATGCCAGTTCTCTTCCCACTTATTAACTCCTTCAAACATCTCTTTATGCACTTCATAATATTCCTTAATGCGGATGATTTCAGCATCATGCAGACTGAGCAGGTTTTCACTGTAGTCCTCTGATAAGTGATGAATAGTTAGCTTCGGTAGTATGATATACAATAATAACAGTCTACAGTATATCAGTAAAATTACTTACCATCGTAATAGGGAGCAAATTCTTGTCTTTGTTCATCACTATAAAAACATTTGTCCCAGTAGGATTTTAACTCTCTACGAATAACTTCAATTACATTTTTAATATTCTGCAACTTCAGTTCTTGCAAACGGTCCAATTCATCTTGTAACTTAAAAGAAATATGGAAAACTGTGGTTAAAACAGAATAATGTGGATTAGCCACACATAGGAGTTTATTTACTTACACTGGAGAGTGCAAAAATCTGGTGCAGCTCTGTGAAGAAACCAATCAGCTTCCAGGTTTTTTAGTATTGCCAAAGCTTATTTGAACAAGCAGAAGTTAGAAGCCGATTGGCTACCATGCACAGCTGCACCAGATTTTGCACTGCTATTTTAGTAAATCACTTTCTTTCTTTTTATCTGACCTCTGCAGTCTTTCTGTTGCACATTGACTGACCACCAAACTTCTTGCAGAAGTGCTGGAGGGAAGTTTGGTGGTCAGTCAATGTGCAACAGAAAGACTGCAGAGATCAGATAAAAAAATAGTTCCGCCTCTCAGTTCCTGCCCAGAGGCCCCAACAGCTTCTTCAACCTTTACAGCCCCGAGTGATTCCTGTGTCAGCTCCTAAGAGGGGGAACTTTATCTTGGTTGATCTATCTCTGACCTGCTGGACCACTCCTTCACCACACGAGGGCGCTTGATCTCCATTCTTTCCAGCTATTCCCGTGACCAGACCAGAAAGGAGAGGGGGAACCTTCAGGATATTTATTCACATGCGTATTACCTATACGCTTTCTGGTTAGTGCGCAGTCTTATCATTTGCACTGGGAATCAAGGAGCACCTTTCATTGGACTGTTTTCATCATTATTATCTATGATATATTAATAGCGCTGCATTTTTGTATATATATATATATATATATATATATATATATATATAGTCTTACAGATGCGACTGGCCCTTTGAGGGCAACCATAATGCTGGTGTGGCCTGCGATGAAATGGGAGTTTGACACCTCTGCTCTACTGTATAGTCTATGAAATTCTCTTAACTTTAGGAGAGAAAGAGGAAGAGAAATGAGGCATCAGCACACAGAACATCCAGACAAGAACAGTCAGTGTATGTGTACATACATTTGCACTGAGCAAACAAAAGTGCTGAAATTAAATCTATTCACAACCTACTTTAAAGCATTAGTTCACAAATTGTGCCTTAAAGTATATTATTTTTAAGTTGTGGATAGAGTACTGAGGAGTTAGAACCTTTTATGTTTACTATTGCTGTTGTGGCCGCACGTGGGAGATTCACTCCCTCTATTTCTCCTGATGATACCTGGAGAGACGTGGCAGCAAATCCATAATTTTCCAGCTGTCACCAGAACAAGAGGCAAGAGATCAATCTTCCAATTGGGACAGCTTTTCCAGTGACAACTGTTTCTTTTTCCCTCACTTTAAAAAGCCCCTTTCACAAGAGGTGGACTCAGTTATGATCAGCAGGGATCTGTCTGCAGAGCAGGCGGGTGACAGGTCCGTGTCTGCTCAGTTTATACAAAGCGGATATGGACAGAGCTATACTGCTCTATGGACCAGAAGGTGTAAACAGACGCTGCCCATTTACATCTGACTGCCCTCTGATCCGCCTAGACAGAGGAGCACAATTCAACTTCTGTTTTTTTTTCCAGCAGATCGGATTGTAGGTAGGCAGTTGTAAACTGACAAATCCATTTACACTCGCTGGTCCATAGGGGTGAATGGAGTGTTTGATTAGGTCTACCTGAAAAAAAAGACAGGTGGACCTAGAAGAACCCTTCGAGTGCAAGGGGCTTTAAATATATTCACTTACTTTTTGTTGTGTCTCTGAAAGTACGGGAAAATCTCCAAAAAAAGGAAAACAAATTGGCTATGAAAACACTAACTGATCAGAACAAACAATAGAAAAGGTAAAAGGTCAAATACTATAAAGTTCACGTTTACCCCAGGTCAAAAACAAAGAATCTTACTGCTTGAATAGTTTTCCCTTTAGAACCAGTCATATGCACAGCAAAAGCATTCCTCTCCTCTTCAGGAATTGCAAGCCTATCCCAGAGTTCGAGGATTTTGGACCGTAGCTCTTCACTCAGTGCTTTATTTTGTCCGATTCGTTCTTCTAGCTGTAATTTACACAAATGATTAGTAAATCAGAAAAAGGTGCATCATTTAGTTTTAGCCAATTCGTTAATAACTGTAATATGCACAATCCCTGGATTAGTTGCCACAAATAGTCAATTACAAATCAAAAAGGCATTTGCTGTTGGCTGATCCAGTAAAAGCTTTGAAAAGCTAGGGAGCAGCTCACCTGAAATAGAAGCTGGTGCAAAGCTTCTAGATTTTCCTTTGACAGGCAGAACGCTTCTTCCTCTACACACACCACATCCCTCTCAAAGCTTGTATCAGGTAGGCGATCTAGTTCCTCCATGCACAGAATTATTTGTTTCTTTGTTTTAACAAACTCAGCTTCACGGCGCTCCTGTGGTGGCAGCAAAATAAAACGTTTAATATACACCAGAGTAGATTAGAGTTCACATAAATGGGTTTTATGACTGTTTCGATCATTTGAATAATGATGTAAATGCTGCATCTTCCAGAGACACATGTTTTGAAGATTCTGCGCAGAATATTAGTTTGCAAGGTTTAAGCTATAGGAAAGCTGCAGGGCCTGATAACATTTCAGCGATTATTATAAAGAACTGTGCACTGCAGTGAGCAGATGTCTTTGCTTTGATTTTTAACTCCACTCTTCAGCAGGAGGTTGTTACTTCGTGTCTAAATCAATAAATCCCCAATTTCTTGCTTAAATGATTATCGCCCTGTGGTACCTACTTCCATCGTTATGAAGTGCTTTGTGAAATTGGTTCTCTGGCTCATTAAAAAGTTGTGTTCCAGTGGACTTGAATAGTTACCATTTTGCTTACAGAGCAAATAGATCTACGGATGCTACTGCTTTAGTTAGTGGTGCACCGAAATGAAAATTCTGATGCCGAAACCAAAAATTCAGGATGCATTTGGCTGAAAACCGAAATGGACAGTTATAAAAAAAAAAAAAAAAAAATAAAAAAAAAAAAAAAAACATTATTTTTTTTTTTTAAATGCAATTTTTTTGAAAAAAACAAAACAAAACAAAAAAACCTACAATATATACCCCAATTTTTTTGTAAAATATGAAAGATGGATGTTACACCGAGTAAATAGATACCCAACATGTCTTGCTTTAAAATTGCGTATGCTTGTGGAATGGCGTCAAACTACGGTACTTAAAAATCTCCATGGGTGACGATTTAAAAATTTCTACAGGTTACCAGTGTATTGCTCTGATGTTTGTGGAGATACCGCACATGTGTGGTTTGAACATCATTTACATATGTGGGAGTGGCCTACATATGCGTTCACCACTATGCACGAGCACGGGGGCACTTTTAACTTTTTTTTTTTTTTTTACACTGTCCCTTTAAAAAGAATAAAAAAAAAAAAAAAAAGAAGTTTTAATCACTTTTATTCCTATCACTAGGAATGCATGCATCCCTTGTGATAGAAATAAGTAGTGACAGGTCCTCTTTATGGAGAGATATAAGGTCAATAAGACCCCACATCTCTCTTCTACAATGTAAAGCATTAGATCAAAAAAAGCATTGATCTAGTGCTTTAAAAAAAAAAAATAATAAAAATACAAAAAAGACCTTGTTTACAAGGCGCTGGAAGGGACATTGCTCCAGTCCTCCAAGGACATAGAGATGAGTGGAGGCTCTTTTTCCTTCAGCCCAGCTCCGGGATCGTTCAGTGGTTGCTCAGGTAAGGCTGAGAACCACTGAGCGGTGGCGGGTGGTGTTATTTTCGGCACCTGTATTGGTGCTTATTTTCATAACCCTAAAAACTAAAAATTCTTCCTGCGCCAATGAAAAAAACTACTACAGGATCTATCCTATTTTTTTTTTTTTTTTTTTTTTTTATGATGGTGAGGATTCCTATAGAGTGGATACGAAAGAGGGTTTAGGATCCCATAAAAATTCCTAAAAGGCGTTTCATTCACCTAAATCTGGTGAGTGTATTTGATGTTGGTTTGCATGGGTGGAAGGTGGAAGTTTCTTTGCATTAGAAGAATTTTTGATCTTTTTGCACGAACTTTTTGTGATTCACGAACTTTTGTTGTCTATTATCATGATGGACTTTCACTATTAATATAATTTTTATTATATATTTTGCACTTTATATATTGATTTGATGTAGAGGTCTATGTTTGCGCTGTTTATTTATATTTATCTTATTTTCATAACCGCCAATGGCCGATAGGGGTGTTTTCGGCCACTGAAATTTCGCTGCATCCCTAGCTTTATGTTCTGTGTTGACCCGCTTAGAGGGTAGAAATAGCTATGTCCGAATTCTTTTTTATTGATTTCAGTTTATTGCGATTTTCCTATGAAACTTATTGATAAACTCAGATTATTGGGTTTATGTTTTTTGTAATTGGGTTTTGGATTTTCTCATGGATAGAACTCAGTTTGTAAAATTTGGTGAATATTGCTCATCAACACAGTCCCTTAGTGTAGGAATGTCCACAGAACGGTGTGTGTTAATCCCTACTTTGTTCACTCTGTATACTCGTGATTGTGTGTGTGTCCCCCCGTTTTGAGACAAATTAAGAGATAACATTTGAGGACGACACCAGTGTTATCCAGTAAATATGGGAGAAATCAGCAGAAAATTGAGGGCTGGGTAGGTTGCTGTAAGGAGAATAATCTGGAGCTAAATGTGAAGAAGACTAAATTCACAACAGTTTTTAGGAGAAGAGGAATTGGGTATGCACAGTTTTTTTTTTTGTTTTAATGGGGTGGAGGAACAGAGCACTTTTGGGAACAGTGGGTCAGTGCATGTATACAATCTTGTGGGCAGGGTACACCGTCGGTTATACTTTTTGAAGAAGCGGAGCAGGGCCGCTTTCCGAGTGGGTCTGCCTATGCTTCTACAAGGCTGCCATGGAAATTGTGTTGACTTATCATACTGCTCTGTGGCAAGAGTTGTGCACATCCCAGCACAAAAAAGCCTTACAAAGGGTGATTAAAATGGCACACAAAACTATTAAAGGCGTAGCTCTACCCAGTATTGAGGAACTGGGGAAAACTTGTCAGCTTCGGAGAGCCTACAGTATTTGGGGGACAGTTCCCACCCAAAAGAATATTTTGTTTAAACTGTTACCTTCTGAGATTATTGCCTCTAATACTGCTAGGCTTCCACATTTTTTTTTTTTTTGCCCACAGGCAGTACAGCTTTTGAATTCTGGAAAGGGTAACAGGATAACAGACAGCGGAGGGTGCATTGTTCTATTGTGTAAATATGGTTTGTGAGGCTATACTTTTTTTTTTTTTTTTTTCTTTATGTGTAACACTGGATGGAAGTACATGTGAATTTCATTTTATGATTTTTATTGCACAATACTACATTTCTTCCTTTGATTTACCCATTTTGGTGAAAATGTAAAGTGGAGCAGTTGACCAGAGCTAGATTTTTTTTTCCCCCCTAACATACATTATACAAGAATGCTGTGCACTGGTTACTATGACCGCTAGTCACATTTCAACCTTTTCTTGATTTACAGTTTGTAGACACAAGGACCATTAACATTTACATTTCACTGCTACCTTTTCAGCACAAAGTGCAGCCAAATGTCTCCTAAACTGGTCCAACTCATCCAGGCTCGGAACCTGACTGTCAATGAAGTATGGAGACATGCACAGAATGTCACACAACTCTTGATCACGCTGCTTTAACTGCTTCAGCTCCTGAATTCTTTCCTTTTTTTGCTTTAGCATAACTTCAACACGTGTCCTTATGTCCTTTTCAAGCTGTAGGATAGTGCTTTCTTCATCCTCCTGTAGAAAAGAGAATACCAAACAATAAGCAAGCATTTAAAGAATAGTTTATCAAATCTGAGCACACAGATTTTTTTTTTCCCCTTAAAGAAACCCATTCCCCAAAAAAGAAGTGAGGAAAATTCTCCAACAGCAACACAGACCAGGATTTTATTTATTTAAATTGTTTCTAAAAAGGTAAAAATTGACATTTTCTTTGTTATAAAAATAACAAAATGTCATACTTACCTGCTCTGTGCAATGGTTTTGCACAGAGCGGCCCCGATCCTCCTCCTCTCATGTCCCCCCACTGGTGCTCCTGGCTCCTCCTACTCATCCATTGCCCACCCTGGGAAGCCGCTTCCTATGGGGGCATTCATGCAGGCTTGCTCCTGAGCCTCACTGCCAATGTCCATATACACACAGACAGTGGGCAGGACCCGCCCCCTCATCACAGAGTTTGACAGCAGTGAGAGCCAATGGCTCCTGTTGCTATGGATCTGCCCTGACGATGAGACAGGAGGGACAGAGCACTGAGGGCCATGGCTCCCATGCACAGAGCTGGATCGTAATGGGTCTCAGGTAAGTATAGGGGGGCTTTGAGGGAAGGAGGGGCTGTAAACAGAAGTGTTTTACCTTTATGCAAAGAATGCATGAAGGTAAAAAAAAAAAAACAAAACAACTTCAGCCTCTAGAACCACTTTGAGGTTGGGGAAAGACTAGAAAGTAATAGAGGGGTAATCTTTATAAAACTTAGCCCAAGTATCAGTAAAAACCCAGCAAGGGTTCTAAACCTTGCCTGCTCTAGCCAAAACTTGAAAAAAGTTGTATTATGTTAAGGAGTAATAATAGTTCACAAGCATAAATATAGAGGCACAGTAATTAAATCAGATAGGTTTGCAAATCCCCTTTGCTAGCCTCCATGTTAGCCAATAGAAAGCCGTAAACGTCACACTTTTAGAAATTGGTAGATCATCAAGATTGTCCAGACAGCTATACAGTCTGTAGTAGAAATTAAACTACGACTTTGGTTAGCGCACCTAAAAAAATGGATTATATCTCATTCACAAAAGCACTATTTACTCACTTCAAATGGGGGAAGGTGCAATTCATTGCAAAGCACAAACAGTT